GCCCGTCACCCGGAGACCAGGGTTCGATTCCCCGTCGGCCGGTCGGGAATACAATTTTTAAAAAAAATATATTTATCGTTATTTCGTATTGTTATATTATAATTATATTCTTCATATAGCTTTCTTAATTCTGTTCACTTAGTTTTATTATTATTTTCATATAGTTTTATTACTAATGTCTAATGTTACACATTTTATATTTACAATTTTATTTTACTTTTCATTCTGTCCAACACCGTAAGTATTCAAAATTCGTTTCAATCTATTTTGTTAGAATGTTCATTCAAGTTTCGTTAAAAAACTGTAAACAACAATACAGCTGTTCTAACTGCACATTGTGATATTCTTTAAGCTCTTTTGACTGTTTAATTTTCTTTGTATAATTCCACTCATACTCATAGACTTTAACATCCATTTGTTTTTTTCTCTAATAAACAAATAAATATTAATAACTTACTTATTCAAATATTTTAAATCTCAGAGTTGAGTATTACTGTTTAGCTGAAAATATATGTCATGTTTTATTTCTTTCATTTTATTTTCTAATAAGTATCATAATAAGTAGGGACACAATATGCCGCTCCAGAAATAATTGAAATAACACTTAGTGATGACAATGAAATGAACATACCGGTACCGTACTTAAAACATATCAACATCATTGACATCAACAATTTTAGCTCTTGTAAAAAAAATGTTGAAAATTGAAACAAAAAGCCATACTGCCACTGTTGTAACTATGGGTCTAAATAAAAAAAAAGCATACAAAAATTAATTGGAACCCTGCTGGTCGTAGGATGCATTGCGAGTCTTGGGGAAGTAAAGTTCCATTGGGGCAATTGAAGCAGCGTTTACAAGTTTGAGTGTATGGCCAGCGCAATAACCAGCCACCTTTACTTTTCCCAGCTAAGGCCATAGCTGGGTAGACTTAGTGACACCCTCAAGGATGAGGAAAAAATACTAGCCTTAAACTTAAACAGGATTAGATTTTGTTATTATCGATGTAAGGCCTACATGCCCCTCCCCGTCTCTCACATGGCCGCCTGATGCAGCCACCTCTCTGCATCATAACACTGTTGCACGGCATGTCAACTATTTCTGACAGAACATTTCTGGACTACGTGATATATCATAGTGCTTTAAAAAAAACTAAACTATATCCTATCAAGCTTTGACATCATTTAAAGACATCTCTACAATGGGTGAAAGTGAGTCTACATGAAGACTACCGGTACCATATTTATTACTGGTATAACATTTAATATGAAATATCAGAAAATTAGTCATGTCTAGGAGTAGGAGGTTTGACTGGATCTATTAGTAACACTCTATAGGTCGAATAGACCCTATGTTGGCCCCTAACAGAGCAGATGTAGGCACAATAAATTGTCCTATATCCAATATAATATAGGCTATAGTCTATAGTTAAGCCTATTAAATTTTTTAATTTAACTTGTGCGTACCGGTAGCTTCGGTTTTGAAATGTGTTTTTGCCATACTCATTAAAGATCGCTCTATCCTATACTACTTAAAACTACACCCCCACCCCGGCTTGGAATGTGATCCTAATTATTTCTAGAAATTTGCGTAATTATGGGAACATTTCTGTCTAACAATAACGCTCTGCATTATTCGCAGATTTCGGTCTGCCGATGACGCTCGGCATTATTCGCAGATTTCGGTCTGCCGATAACGCTCGGCATTATTCACAGATTTCGGTCTGCCGATAACACTCTGCATTATGCATTATTCTCAGATTTCGGTCTGCCGATAACGCTCAACATTATTCGCAGAGCTGTGTGGATAACGCTTCCCAAAGGAAAACGACGATTTACTGCTACTGTGGGGCTTCCATTATCCGAACCAATTGTGAACAGAATTTTCATATAGTTCAAAAAAACTATTTTTCGGATAACCAAACACTCTAAAAGAAAGGTTGCGTTAAAGAAGCTAGTGCATAGAATACATTATTTATTAGCAATGTATTACCCTATGCACGTATGGTGTTTTATTGTAACGTTAATAATTAATGAGCAATAATTGACAATGATCATCAACGTTATATGATTTAATATGATGATATATGAATATTATATTGACATCGGTACCACCAGCTCAGTCGTGTCAAAAACTGTTAACAATATGGACTGGGTAATTTTTTCTGCAAAAATTGGTGTTTTTTTTTTGTGTTTTTTTTTTTGAACAAAAATTGTAACTGAAACTTGATGATTTTGCCGTTGATTTGTCTTTGCAGGCGTGTATTCTGCAACACCCAGTTTTCAGATCGCATTTCATTCTGATCCTTCAATGTAAATACGTAGCTGATTGCGCAACAGTGGTCTGAATTGTTTTCAGGTATTTGTTGCACAATCCAGCTACGTATTTATATTCTTCATATAATTTATTTTATTTTTTTTATGTCTATCCATCACATTGTGACGATTTTCTAGGTTTCTCATGACGAAATTCGCGAGGCCTGGGATTTTTCTATTGGAGGATAAGGTTGTTCTCTAGATAGATAGAAAATAACCTCTCTAAGCGGATCTGGATAAACCAAGGGAAAATCATAGGAGTTGCTAGAACTTTTTATTGTGTCAATGTCATACCACCCACGGGATTAAATCTCAAATTTGAATTCGGAGTTTTCCGTCACTTGTATGGGTTAACGAGTTTTATATATATAGTCTTATTTTATGCTGCTTTTATTTATAAAAATTTCTACTGGAATTTCAACTACATAGGGGCCGTTCGCAAATTACGTCACGTTCAGGTGGAGGGGTCGAGAATTTGTGACACTTTGTGACAGGGGGGAAGGTCAAAATTTTGTAACGTCACTTTTATTTTTTTAATCTAAAATTTTCTAATTTTGAAAAAAAAACTTTATTTGATTAATTTTAAAAACATTAATTTGAGGTCGAAATTGGCTCATGTATAATAGGTACTATGAAACTCAGTTTTCTAATAATACTACATCTTAATCTATTATGGAAAAATGTTAAAGAATAAAATAAAATCTTAGTTTAGTTATGAACATTTTATGTATGTTTTGAATTTTTTTAGGTGTGACGTGACACGGGAGGGGTGGGGGTTAAAGATTTTGTGACACTTCGTGACAGGGGTGGGGGGGAGGGTCGGGTCTAAAGGGGTCATTTTTAGCGTGACGTAAATTACGAACGACCCTTAGAGAGTTAAATTATTCCAATTGGCCTATTAACAAAAAAAATCTGTCAACTGATAAAAACTTCGGAACCCCTGATTTAATTAAATTATCGTTTTCGCATGTCGCGGGCCACAATCGAGTGTTGGCCATGACTAAATTTTATTTTTTAAACACTTTGAGTTTCCAACGTAATGTTTGTCCACTATTTCATTAACAGATTCATCAAAAGAATAAGTATTTCGACTTAAATTTACTCTTTGAGCTTGATTTTGAAAAAACTGGCAGTGCTGGAATCCAGTGCTACCACACCTTGGGAAATTTCCCAAGATCTTGGGAATTCACGACACCCCTTGGGATGTGGGGAATAATTTTGAAAATCAGGCAAAACCTTGGGAAATCTTAACTGGAATGAAATTTTATTATATTTTTCGAAAAAAAACGCAACCAATATGTGATAAAAAAATAAAGTGAAAATAAAGCAAAATAATTTTTAAAGTAACAAGGCAAAAAATTAATTGTTTTAATTTTCTTTTCTGGTTTTAATTTTTAAATCCACTCATCAAATAAATAAAAACTTTTCTAAAGTTAATATAATTATAATATCATTGTGAATTGTTAAAAAGTTAATAATTAAAGAAAAAAATCAATTTTCTCTTCTTTTTTTTTTTTATATTAAAGATTTAAAAATTACATCCAGGTTTTGAATGTCTATTAAATGGGAGGGGGGGGGGGGGAGGCTCGGAAACTTTATCATTAGGCCATAAGACATTAGCAACCATACGAAAAACAGTACAAGCCGAAGAGTGAACGATAGTGTTCAATCAAGAATCCAATGACATAGTAAAATTTGATTATTTCAATTACTTCTACAATGCATTCAAAATATAATGCATCTGTAAAAAATCCAGCCTAATTTTCATCAATTGGAAAAAATATTTGTGGATTGAAACACAGGTAACTAAGATATTAAAAGTAAAGGTCAAAGTTGCAGGCATTGTAGGATTATAAATGAACAATACCTTTAAAAGTATTTTTTTTTTAATCGTTATAATGTAAATTTACAAGAAAAAAATAAGAATATTTATTGTTTCAATCCATAATAATATCAATCCATTTTAACTACAATTATTATTAATAAATTTTGCTTAATTGCTTTGCAAAACCCACTTATAATCAACAGACTTCTATAAGAAAATCATTTTTTGATGAAGAACCTTTTGCCCTTGTAAAAGGAATTCTGTGTTGATTAGCCTTGAAAGCTTCGTTTCCAAGTGACCTCTATTACACATGTATTGTAGATGATATTTTTACCAGATAATTTGGAGGTAATATTTAGTAGCCTAACTCCAGTGGGTATTGGTATTTTGGATTATATTTTAATTTTTTTTAAACAAATTGTTTCTTTTATGTCATTAAAAATTTTTTAAATGTCTTTTTCAATAAATTTCAGTCAGTACATTTCAATGTACCGGTACCATGTTTTTCAGGGGCATTAATTCAGTCTATTATTACATTAATTACATAGAAAAAAAAAACTTTAAAAAAAAAAAAAATCATATATTTTATGATTTTGGGAAATCTTTGGATATTCGTTCACCAAATCTTGGGAAATTTTATAAATTTTTTTAATTTTTTTTTTAATAAATTTCAGTCAGTACATTTCAATGTACCGGTACCATGTTTTTCAGGGGCATTAATTCAGTCTATTATTAAATTAATTACAAAAAAAAAAAAAACTTTAAAAAAAAAAAAAATCATATATTTTATGATCTTGGGAAATCTTTGGATATTCGTTCACCAAATCTTGGGAAATTTTAAAAAAGTGAGTGGCAGCCCTGCTGGAATCCCATCTTTATTAAGTTTCTGGGTCTGTTGCTATATTTATAATGGCGAGTCAAAAAGTAAGTTTCTCTTTATTTCATACATTTAACATGACCATTTTTACTGTTAACATATAATATAAATATTAATATGATAATTATTGTCATATGTTTAGCGGTGGAGCCTGGGTATGAGTGTAACAATTGAAATTAGGTGGGTAGAATCTGGTCGTGATGTGGTTTGCGGTAATTTCCACAAAAATTGCTCAGTACAGGATTTTCCTGGAAATTTCTCACTGAGCCACTGCATGTACCTTTATTAGATACTTTGGTGAAATTTTCAAAATAATTGTTAAAATATAAATGTAATAAAGTTGAACAAAGCCAATTGAACCATTTACAAAAACACCAAAATCAACTTTCTAGCTCAAGTGGTTCAATAATAAATAATAGTTACGTTATTATTATTATGTATTTTTATTTTTTAGTTTTAGTGCTGGCCTCACTCAAGTCCACCACCAAGTAGTCCATTATAGGTAATCTACCACTTGAGCTTCGGCCAAGAAAAAATCCAGTTGTTCCTGTTGGAAGGGCTATTTAAATAACTATTCTTACATTTGAGTCTGTTAATATTTTTGCTTCCGTATAGAGGCTATAACTATAAAGTTATTAGGGGTGTGCCGGATCCGTTTTTTCCAACCGGATCCGGATTTTCTTATGCGAAATCCGCCGGATCCGGATACCGGTTTCTCCCGGATTCCGGATTTTGGTACTATTGGTAGATACTTCGGTAAGTCAAGGTGGACTACTACTTTTTGTGTATGGGAATTCGCAATCGGCGCCAAAAAATCCGAGTTTTTAATTTTCCGATGTGTGTGTCTATTTATTATTAAATTAGTACTTTCGATATATATTTGAGTTCCGTTCCATTTGGATAAGTGTCTTACGAGAGACGCCATGTTTCTACGCGTTCGCAGCAGGTTATGCAGCTCGCTCAACCTAATTTCGCCATGGGGTTGGCCACGCCCCCCTTTTTAATGGCGGAAGTTGACGATACTTAGGAAATATTAATTTATTATCACTATTTACATCAAAATAATTGATAACTTGTGTTTCAGAATGCATTTAAAGACATTTAAACTGGAATGTTTTAATTTGAGCTTTAACAACCCGGTAGAATCCATATTATAAATGATCAGAATTTACCGTGTGCAACACGTTGTCATTGGCAACCATTCACAGCCACTTGCATAACTGTATCGTAGTACTACCTCAGAGTTTCATTCATAAGAGTTTGCCGTGTGCAAAAACTATTAAACCATTGGTCAGGGAAAGCTTTAATTAATTATTCATGTGCCAAAGTTGAAAGTTTAAACTAAGTCTAAACAGTATTTTAGTGATAAGGCAGGGAATGCGTTGCCTTATATAAACTATATAGTCATTGCGCATGACGGGATTGGTGGAATGAGATCACAGAATGTGGAGATGCAGTCCATGTTAAAAAATGACAAACCAAGTCGTACTTTAAAAATTCATAACTTTAAAACTACAACAGCTAAAAATATGATTTTGGTGTTATAATTCTTTAAAAAATTACATCTTTTCAACTATGCCATTGGTTTATTTTTACAAAAAGTTTAAATTTTCTTATCAAAGTCCCTACACTATTGGCCACTATTAGCGGTGCTGACTCTAGCCTCTGGTATGTACGGAATATTAAACATTAAACAAGCTCAACGCTCGAAACAATCGATTAATGTATCGTGATCGTGTGAAATTCGGGAAAGAGAATTACTTTTATTTCAGATTATGATCCGGTGAGTCACAAAATCTGGCAAATTCCGAAATCCGGTATATTCCGGAATCCGGTTGTTCCGGATACATGTAAATCCGGCGGAACCGGATTTCACCGGATAGTGCAAAATCCGGCGGAAAGTTATATAACACAATACTAATACATTTAAATAATTATTACTGCCAAGCTACCGATATGCCAGGAAGAAAAAGAAAAAACAATAATTTTTTTGATCCAGATAACGCGGATGTCCACACATGTGGAAAACGTGAATGCTCAGAAAGCGTAAAAGGAAAAGACAGTTTGGCACAAGATTGAAGAAGCGCCGGTGATCTTTCCCCTTCATATTTACATGGATTCATGTACCACAACCATTTTCGTGGAAATTATATTTTTTTAGACTTCATTGTCAACTTGGGGGAGAACTATGCATAATTCCATTTTCACACATTACCTTCTATTTTTAAAAAAATGTCTATTATTATGGGAATAAATACGTACAACCAATGTCATTAAAAATAATATAAGAATAGTTGTTTAAATAGCCCTTCCAACCGGAACAGCTGGATTTTTTCTTGGCCGACGCTCAAGTGGTAGATTACCCCAATTATAATTAATAAAAAAAGAAAGCAATTATATTATTTGTGTTTACTTATCAGTTATTATCATATCAATAAAATTAAGAAGTAAACCCTTTTCATGAAAATTTAAATTTTAAAATGTACCAAGTTTCAGCTTCATAATAACAACATCACTGACATCAGGTTTTGAAATTTGAGATGATGTATAATGAATGCCCAATAAGGTTTAAATTCACAAACCCTTTTTACTCCCTACTTACTACATTAGTCCTTAGGTGCCTTAGAAGAGGGGCAGGGATTCTGAACATCCTTTCTTAGTATGGGACGACAAAATTAAGACAATTTTGAATGGACCTATGAAATTTCACACTCCTAGAAAAGCTGGGCATTTATTCAGGTCTCAGGATATTAATATAGGCCATTAATTAAATAGTATAACATACATTTTTTGGTACTTATTGTGTTTGGACATAAGTTAATCGAAATGTATTTTGATTACATTGTACACATTCGTTTTTAGCATATTGGCATATTGATAAAAATTCTGATTAAGATTTAAAAATTTGAACAATTTAAACGTAAGACATTTTAAAGAATTTCTCAAGCAGCGCAAATACCAGCAATCATATGTCTTAAAACCTTAATTCCTTAACGGCAGTATTGATAAAGAGGGATTATTTCATTTTATAATGGATGGTGATGCATGATATTGGTATTAATCTTTGACTTTAATCTTTAATATTGTGCGTCCCATGTGACACTGCTAGTTCTGTGATTGTCATGGAACGATGAAAGCAACTATACTCTGACTCTGTACGTCATAGGGTGTGAAAAAATTGTTCACTCAGTTTTTCATCCTAACTGTAATGACCTGGGTTTTTTGATGTTGTTAGTATTTGGGGTGTAAGGACAGGTAAAAAGTCCAGTCTTGTGAATGGGAGAATACCTATGGGATGAAGGTGTTACCTATGAAAAAGCATTAATCTGCTGTCAGAATGGGGCTCAGACAGCATACTTTACCACTATTCTTAGTATGCAGTGTAAAGAGTATAATGTTCCTTTATTACATAATATTGTCACTCTTTAGACTTTAGTATTACTGATCATCAATCACTACAACGTGTGCAGTGTTTCCCAAAGTTGTAATATTCATTAAATTACTTATCTATTACAAATAATTATGTTAATATATTGAGTTTAATTAATTATACATTGATTGTTTACATGAATTATGTGACATAATATTTCAATACATTTTGTATGTATTGAATTTTAAAAATCATAGTTTTTCTAAGATAATATTCAATCGAGTAGGTATAGTATACTTGTGACATATTCATTTTTAATCAGGGAACTTTTTTAGCCATTACTTCAAAATAAATTTTTTTACGCAGACATCACCCCCAACGATTTGATAGGTAGATTATTTGAATTCAAAATGGTTATTTAAATATTTTTATTATATTTCCATGGAAAATGCAATAGAGTTTTATAAAAAGTATCAATTACCACTAATGCCATATTATATTGTCTTTCTAGATGCAAGGACAGACTTTTCTTTCACAGACCATGCTATTTACATTTCATTTACACCTAATGAGCCCTCAATACCCCCAAAGATTTTCATTTTTACCTCACTTGTGGTAATTTATCCCTGTTTCCTGAACCCCTGGGAAAAAAAATTCTTTTATGGTAAACATATGCATAAAAAAGAAGAGGTTTACTAATACTAAATGGCTATCACTTGAAGATGATTTAGAAATGGTTTTAATCCTAGGCTACCTAATTCGAATACGCTTCTATGCCCTTGTAATTTCAAATATTAAATTTACAGTTAAATAACCCTATATTAACAAATAATGCAAAAGTAATTATAAAATACCTTTTTATCAGGTATTGTTGCTTTCCTTTTTTTTTTAGTCGGATGTGGAAGCTCCTCCTCAGTTTTCAGAGAGGGACAATGTACTTACCGAAGATGGACTACCTAATTACTCTCAAGCTACTACTTTTGGTAAGCTTTGCAAAATATAAAGGTCATTTATTAATGATTGTAACAAAAAATTCGGAATACATTTTTAAAACGTTAAAATTATTTTCTACTATTTAGTGTGTTAAACTCATTTTTGAAAGAAAGTCTCTTTTTTTACGTTGGTTTTATATTTTTTTATTTTTGTAATCATTACTTTAGTTGTTAAATAGCAAGGTGTAATTCTGTAATGTGAAACAAATGTATGTCATTGGACTTTGTAAGGTCTGTTTGGATTAGAAAGGTTGACCACTTCCTGAAACCTCTTGAAATAAATTACATCTACTGTCTGTTGGCCCTACTAAATAAAAAGTTCTGCATTTGAACCAACTTAAGTTAAGTCATCATAGTTGAATTCTGTTTAAAACACCACATGCTGACTGCAAGTCTTTACAGCTTTGTTAAAAACAATGCATACTAACTGCTATTACATTTTAAAAATGACCTACATTACTTAAATATTACTTTTTTCATATGGCTAACATATGTTTAGCTTTATCTTACACCACAACTAAAAGGTGATGTTTTCTGAGCTTTTTATTGAATTTTTCAAATTGTTCTAAATTCTGTATTTTTTTAGATTCCCCACCATCTTATGATTCTTTATTTGGAAGAGTCAAGGCCGCCAAACAAGAATCCACTGGGATTTTTAGTTTCTTGAAAACATTCTTCATTATCATCTTATCAACAAGTAAGATTTTTTTAAGCCGTTTTTTTGGGTTGTTTTTTGTTTTCTCCTATCTTATAATATGTGTTTGCCTTCTCTTACATTATGAAGATAAGTGAGTAAGGCTTATTATAATTTAGAATTTGTATAAACATTTGGTTACACGCCCGTTCACAATAAATCAGGAAATGTAAAAGTGAGATTTGACTTATGAATATTTAACTAATTATAAGGAGTATTGGATTGCAATAAAGTTGAACCTGTATTGTTTTATTTACATAAATTGTTTTTGACTAATTAAACTTATTGATATTAACTTGAATGCTTTAGCATCCTTAAGATAAATTTCATGAACAATAATCAGTAACTCAACAGCTAATTAGATTCACTTCTTTTTCAGTTGGCTTCACTATTATAATTGGAATTTTAATGGCAGTCCCCATTTCTATGATTGTAATGGGTAAGCCTCAGTATATATGGTTCAGTGATTTTTACAACTTGCATAAGGATGATGCTCTGTTCAACATTCAGTTTTGTTCTATCTTTGCCAAAGCTTTACTTGGATTTAATAAGCTCTATTCAGTGCAGGGTCATATTGAAGGAAAGTATTCTTTCCAGATAAATGTTGTTGTTGTTTGTTTTATTTTTGTTGTTGTTGTTTGTTTGTTGTTGTTTTTTTGTTTGGGGGGGGGGGCTGTTTCTGCGCACTCAAAAGTAGTAAAAATTTATTACATTAAAAAATGTCAATCCATTATGAAGCTAGGTTAGAGAGATTTTTGTTTAAAAGTTGGAATTTTTTTTTATGTTATAGAGCTGCTGAGTCTGTTAATATTTTAAGTTTCAAACACTCTGGCACTCAAACTAGTGGCATAAGTTGAGCTGTAATGGGAATGTCTTTTATTTTATTTTTTTAATGATAAAAATAAACTGATTAAATATAAGTAATGTACCAAATGCTAATTTTTCTATTCTCTAGCTCTTTTTTTTTCTTTTTTTTTTTTATAATGTGTATCATCCTGATAATTTCAAAAAATATCTTTTTTTATTTTCTAAGTTTTGCTTTTATTTCATTTGTGTTGAATGATCATTGAAGATTAATTTAATTATTAGAGTTTATTTTTTTTTTTTTTTGTTTTTTTTTTTGTAATGATAAAATTAAATTGTTTAAATATTAGTTATGTACCAAATGCTTGTTTTTTTATTCTCTAGCTCTTTTTTTTTCTTTTTTTTTTGTATAATGTGTATCATCCTGATAATTTCAAAAAATATCTTTTTTTATTTTCTAAGATTTGCTTTTATTTCATTTGTGTTGAATGATCATTGAAGATTAATTTAATTATTAGAGTGTCTTTTTTTTTCTGTTAATATCGCTCAGTGTATGTATGTTTTGTACGACAGGTTGCATTCCACACAGTAAGAATTTTCTATTTCTGAACACTTTTTTTAAAAAAACAACTGGAGTTACATTTTTCTTTAAGGTGCCTTATACAAAGATGACTGCCCGATTGACCACTTGATACCCATCTACCTTATCGTTGCCGGATCCTTTGGATGTGCCAAAAACCTATTCAGCTTTATCCAGAGATGCCGCAAATCAGAAGCAGAGCGGGAAGAAGATCAGAAAAATGTTAATCCTTTTGAGACCATCGTCAACTGCTTTCTGTTTGCCTGGTTTATTGCTGGTGAGTTTTCATTCATGCTTTTGACTTGGGGTGCTACAACACTCTTTTATATCAAAGTGATTTCTCTGTTGCACTCTTAACAGAGCAGTGTAACTGGAGACATTTGTTTCAAAATAATTTGTTTGTCTAGTCAAGAATCTTCCAGTATTTCTGGCAAAGTTGTCTAGCTTACACTGTCACCCTATGCACTCAGGAACAGGCACTCTGAATACTAGAACACCAACAGTTGATGACATAAAAATGGTTCTTCTTTTCTTCTGTGTATCTGTTACACAGATCCACCTGGTTGAAAAATATCCTCAGTCGAAAAAACTATTTAAAAAAACACCATCTATATCTCACTAATTTTCTAATGAACTCTTTCCTTAATCAACTGCTGTGAACTCTCTCTGGATCTCACGCCTTATATTCACATACTTGTTTATTATGCTTTTCTCCTGTAATCCATTGTCCATTTAATCACAATTTTACAACTCATGACAGAAAAAGTGTTCATACTAATGACAGTGATGCTCAGACCCTTCATCATCATCATGTCCCTTATTCCTTGGATCGTTGTAGCACCACAGATGACATGAAAATTATCCTCCTCCATTCCTCTCTGGTTTTCTGCACTTCGCACAGCATACCCTTGACAATCAGTTTAGTCATTAGTGAAAGTGATAATCTTTATATATATTTTACTGCTAGGTTAATTCTATAATTATTTAAGCCACAAAAAAAAAGTTTTTAATGTTAACTTGCAAATGGTTTGCTAGATAAATATTATAAAGAAGATTATCAAGCCAGCAAATTCGGTGGAGGTTTGCATTACAAAAACATTAGGCAGCTTCCAATGATAATTTTGTACTATAAATATAGCAGAGAACTTCCTGTCATGTATATATAGTTACTGATTTGACCTTACTGAAACTATGTAGCAGAATTTTAAAAAATGAGAAAGGAATGATTGCTTTCATTTCACTTGTTCAAACATTTTTAAAATGTTTGTGTTTTTTTTTTTACAGGCTGTGTTTTCATCTATAGGATCTTTGATGATGTCAAGTTTGATAACCCAAGCGACCCACACTACTGTCACAGGACCTTGTATTGGTATTCCTTCTGGATAACCACAGCAGTTTACATTATCATGGGTGCATCCTGCTGCTGCGTCTGCCTTGTAGGTTGTCTGGCTGCTCTTTTTGGAAATCAAGAATGATGCAGTTAGTTTTAAGCTTGATCGGCTTTTTTATGATGTATTGGTTCCTCTATTGGGAGCTGGTGGGAGATCCATGTAATGGCTTTATTTTATGTTGTGGCTCAAAAGGGGCAGCGGGTGGAATTTCTTCTCCTCCTGTTTCCAAACTGACGCTAAACTTTGACCCAAGTGATGGATGTGATGTCCTATTCATAAAAGCTGCTGTGAATTATTTTACTTTTTTTAAATTTAAAATACTTAATATTATTTTCTCCTTTGTTTGAGTTTGCAAAAGTATTATTACTTGCCAGTGTCAACACCGATCTTTCACCCATTTGTTTTTTAAGTGAGGAATATTGATCATAAAACCTTGTGGTGTTGAAAGTAAAGAATCTCTCTTAACTTACATTTAAAGAAACATGTTCAGGATAAAAAGAATATGTGTAACATTCGCTAACATAAGTGCCTGGAACAGTTAGTTCAGTTACTCTTTATTAACTAATTATAAAAAGTGTTGGACTGCGATAAAGCTTTAAAATAGATTAATTAGACATCAACAATTAGTGTCACTATAACAATATAATTTAAGCTTTAATAATAGTTATACATAATACATTAGTAAACGTTTCGGCACATGCCTTCATCAGTACAATAACAAAACATTTAAATAAGTATATATTAAATTTACATAATATATATATATACATATATCCTACCTAAAAAGATCATTTTAAAAAATAGGAGAGAGCGCAAAAACTCAGACAAAAAAAAAGTAAAGGAGAGATGAAAGGAAGTGATTTGAACAAAATTGTAAAACCTAACAGGAAAGAGACATGGCAGCTAAGTAAAATTGTGGATTTGGTTCATCCCATATGGAGAAAACGTACTAAACCTTGTTATTAATTTATTTTCCATGTAGATTCTATCTCTTGTGTTACTGCGTGATCGAAACTGATAAGATCACTTTCCCTCTGGAAGTATTCAGAATAAAATATGGCTTTACCTGCACAAGTCGCAACGTGATTTACACCATCATTTGCAAAAAGTGCGGTAAATTATACGTAGGAGAGACAGGTCGTCGCCTTGGAGACCGGTTCAGAGAACACCTCTATAACATAAATAAACAAGCTCTCTGTCCGGTCTCCAACATTTCAATAGCCCTAACCATGATGGTATCTCAGACATCGCAGTTACTGGTATACTTTATACTAGTAACACAAGAGATAGAATCTACATGGAAAATAAATTAATAACAAGACTTGGTAGTTGTCTCCTTATGGGATGAACCAAATCCACAATTTTACTTAGCTGCCATGTCTCTTTCCTGTTTGGGTTTTTAAATTTTGTTCAAATCACTTCCTTTCCTCTCTCCTTTACTTTGTTTTTGTCTGGTTTTTGCGCCCTCTCCTATTTTTTAAAATTATTTTTTAGGTGGGATATATGTATATATATATATTATTTAAATTTAATTTATACTTATTTAAATGTTTTGTTATTGTACTGATGAAGGCATGTGCCGAAACGTTTACTTATGTATTATAGATATATAACTATTATTAAAGCTTAAATTATATTGTTATACTGACACAAATTGTTGGTGTCTAATTAATTTACTCTTTATTATCATTAAAAAAGAAATGTAACCTCCTTTTTTTTCTTACTTTGGTCTAATGTATCTACGATTATTTAAAAATCGTTACAAATGAAATATTTTTGTTGGTTAAAAAAGTATTAAATATTACGTCTGTTTGTAATTTATTTTCAGTTTAGATTTTCATGAATTGTCAAACAAGAAATGTTTTAAAAGTTTCAAGCAATAGATATTACTGTAAAAAATACTTTATAACATTTGTACAAAGTTTATTTGTTGTTTTTACTCACAGCTCTCTGTGCAATATGAAAATTACATTTATAATACTAGATAAGTCCTGGAAAAAATGAATGAAATAAAATATGGTTCTATATTAAATTCTTTTCCACTGTTTTCAAAAATCTGATTCTTTGATTAAGTCACCGCTATTTAATTCCAGTTTATACTTCTCCTGTTATTAATCATTCATTTGGCAAATATACCATCAATAAACTTAAAAGAACATGGCTTTGAAATACAATAAAAGAGATCACGTTTTATCATTTTATTCCAAGGGTAAGAAGAGAATGTTAATTTCGAATCCTAGTTCTTACTTTAAAAAATAACGATATTTCTCTTTCTCTCCCCCCCCCCGGCCCCCCTTTTTATAAAAAAAAACCTGTAAGAATGTGAGCACAAGTTTGTGTATCAATGCAAATTTAATCATGGAAATGGATTATAATTGAACACAACTCAACTTTATTTCAAGACATTTAGTTAACATAATGTAGACAACTTAATTATTCCTATCTTTATATCTTCATTTAAATCAGTTAAGTTTTTTTTATTGTACATATGTGTAGACAACTTGATTCAATTGATCCTATCTTTATATCTGGGTTTAAATCAGTTAAGTTTGTTTGTTTTCTTAAATGTATACTTAGATAACTTAATGATCCTATCTTTATATCTGCTCTTAAATCAGTTAAATTTTTTTTTTATTGAGATTGTATATGATAAAAATTATACAAGTACCCTATGAGCCTTTCATGCCTTATTGATCATTGTATTATACAATTTCTGTATTGATGAATTAAAGTAAGAAGCTATCAATTACTATCATAGTAAAGGAAAATTTCTTAAGAATTTTTTGCAAACCAACAAATTAACATCAGTAATATATTTCAGGTTATGATGTCATTTTACACTTTTAGAACTTATGAACATAGTAAAAGAGTACTTCATATAGTGTTCTTTTTAACTTTTTATTTTCGGAAGAATATAGAAATACTTCTATTGGCCTAATTGTTTAGTTTCTTCTTTTTTTTCTTCTTTTTTTTAAGTTTGGGGCCAGTGATGTAATATTAAAATACTTTTGAAAATTCGTTTTTCACAAGACATAAATTGTACCAAAAAAGCATTAAAATTTAAGCCTGACCACAAAAAGTTACAATTTGACAATATGAGGTAAACAAAACAAATTTAATTTCTATATAATTTCTTTTATTCTACAACTATTATTTATTACTTAATGCAGCTTAAAATGAGCAATATTTAAAGTCATTTTAAGTTCTCTCCATAACCAAAGTTACAAAGTTTTTTTTGATCTTTTCAATATTTGAAAATATTAACTGAATAAACATTTATATAGAGAGAAGCATGACGCTTACACACTCATCATAATTACTGGTAAGAACTAAATTAACAACATTAAACTTTTTTTTTTTTTTAAATATGCATTTTACTCAACTTCAGTCGTAATCTTAATATTCTTTCTTAATGTAAAACTTTCAATGATGTGTTCGTCTTAATTTATAATTTGTAATCAACAAGTCGTATAGTCTCTGGTTATGTTTTTAATTGAGCAATAAATTTTGTTAAAGTCTTAGACATCCATTGCTCCATTGCTTAAATTAAGAAATCATATATTTTTATCAACAAAATTTTACTGAAAATTGTAATTATATCAAAACATTTTGTTGTTTGGATAAAGAAAACAAAAGGAATTGACATAGTTTTGCAATGAAATAATTGTATGTGGGTCAATAACTCTTTATGACTTTATGTATTTCATACCCTGTGTAGGCGTAAGACAAGCTCCTTAAATACTCTTTTTTTTTTCTGGTTTTTTGTATTTCATGTATTTGTACAAATAAATAATCTTTTTACTGTCTCTGTGTTCCTTCAAATTTCAAGTCTTGAATAAAAAAAATATTAAGTGTAACCAAAAAACGAAACTTCTGATTTATTTGATTATGAGAGTTTGTGTATGATGATGAATGCTGCCTAGTTTTTTGTAAATACGAACATTAGTGGTAAAGTAAAGGGATAAAGTTGTGTGAGATTTTTTTTTTTTATTCAATTGAATAAAAATGATGGAAGATTTCAAATGGAGAAATGAAATTCAAATTTGTATTCACAACATTGGGGTGTATGTGTGGCAGCATGATCAGGGAAACTGCACCCTAATTTGGATAATTAACCACAAGCAACTGATGCATTAAAGACTGCTAAAACTAATGATGATGACCCATCATCCCATGCATTATAAATATAGTATACACATTATACACGTTTTTAAAAAATACTGCAAATTTATTAACGACAATGGAATTACATTGTGTTAGTTTGTCCCAGAGGCTGTTAGAGACGCACTGAACTGAAAATTAAGGGTGTTTTAGGTAAATTGTATTAAAATTGGATTGTAAATGCTATACCGATCTCTCCCTCGCCCCTTTGTTCTCCCTTATTTAAGTATATAAATTAGAGGAGGTAATCTAGTTCTAGATTTTTATTTTTTAGTTATCCTTACTGTTGACCTACTTTTGCCTTTCAGCATGTGCTGTGTAATTCATTCCATTGCTTCAAGACCATGGGAAATTTCTCTAGACCTTTTTAGCTGGGGAATATTTTTTTTAAAATCTGAATTTGATACGGGGGGGGGGGG